CTTTTTAGTCAATTTCCTTTATCTTCAGTGTCATTTTCTTGGGACTCCAGAAATGGTACTGTGTAGTCGAAACCCTACTCAGAATACATAATTATGCTTGCAGAGACCTATTCAGAATGGATGTCTTTACATGACTGAGTCTGCACCAAAGCAGGAATGCATCTGCACATAATTGTTCAGTTAAACAATAGCAAAGTAATACTGGGGAGTATTTAAATCAAATGTAGCAATCTTTATAGTGCATCAGAGCTTGATTTAGAGTAAAAGTTATTGTTGAAGCCCTTTGAAAGTAGTTAATACAAATTTACTTAGGTTTCAGTATCAATTCCAGACCTGTCTTTGTGGGAAAAGGCAATGGGAGTCATCCAGGGATAATCAGAGCTAGCTAAAATTTCAAGTATTTACAGTATTCCATCTTCCTTATTCCTCTGCAAGTACAAGAGAAAATAGCAGTACAACAATAACATGTTGAAATAACAATAACATTAGAATCCTGGGAGTTACATTTCCAGCTGGGAACAGTACCATGAATCCCACTGCAAGAGCACTGAAAGGAGGAAGAAAGAAAGAACAAGGAGAACAGTGCCTGCTGGCTCCCAGTTGTCAGGGCAGTATGTAGAGCCCGCAGTGCTCGGGCTTTCCCAGAAGAGCCGGGTCTGCCTGACTGCAGAAACCTCTGCAGACAGGCAAGCTTTCCCTCCTGAAGGATTCCTTTCTAAAGATTAGATGAAATAAGCCCATGTGAAAAAGTCTCGGTTAATATGTTAATTGGTTCAGGGTACCCCAATAACTGGCTGTTAGGACTGCTTGTCTGTATCAGTTTGTTGCTGTCCTCTGAGTTGATCTCCTCTCTGGTTTGTCAGTTCTGTTGGATTTTGATGAACAAAGGCAAATGAGTGAAATCAGCTGAGCCCAGAGCCTGAGTGTGATAAATGCAGAGGTATCTTTCCTTGTACTGAAATTATTTGAAATATTCTTGCACATAATTAGTGGCCTCCTTACAGCTTTTTGCTTAAATGAGGCATGTGCTGTTATACCTAATAACAGTTTATCATCTGCTTTGACCCTTAGGTGATAACTGTTCTGGTACCTGGTGGCTATCAGGAGTCCTGATGCTGACTGTGTCCAGATAATTGTATTATCACAAATCTAACAAGTTATTGTTTAAATTTTGCATTCTGAGTGAAGCAACCAAGTGCAAGCTTAGAAACTCACAACTGTTTATATTTTTGACCGGACACGCAGAAGCAGAACCATACATAAGGCCAGGATTATGAATCTAGTTTCTGAATAAAAACGCAATGAGTGTTGCATTGCCTTGGATGGCTGTTTTGGTTGATCCCCCTCTGTCTGATCCAGATGGTAACTGAGAACCATCTGGATGGAGTTTGTGGTAGGAGAGTGGAATCAGGACACTTAATGTTCAGGACTCTTTGAGCATCTCCCTGGTTAGTAAAAGAATAGTAATATTGTTGGATCTACATTAAGAACTATTTCACAAAGTAGATTTTCTACATTTAAAGATTCAAAGTCTTCCCTAGCAAACACTCTTTGCTAAGACCTGTGAAAACTGAAAAAAAAATCAATCTGCAGAAGTCCTGCAGCAGGATTTGGACTGTGTAGGGGATTTTGAGCCATTCCATTTCTGCTCACGACCTATTTGTGCTGATTGCTGACAGCTGTAATGCATTTCAGAAAGAGGAGCGGAAGAGCTGAAAATTGCTGAAAAAGTGGTTGAGTTTGTTGAGTTTACATTCACTCTGGGAATGAAATGAAAGTAACATAAACTCTGAACTCAAGAGTAAAATGTTTTGAAGGCAGAAAAATTAGCAGCAAGTTAAGAGTAAGCAAAAGTGCATCTTATAGACACCTTTGTACTTGGCTCCAATGAGAGAAGTTAATGGGGGTTGAATGTGAAGTTTCAGTTGCTTTTGTGTAGTTTGCTGGGCTGTCTTGAATTGTGATTGCTTGTTGGTGGAATCATAGATTTCTGATAACTGGCTGTGAAAGAAATGGTGTGGTGAGCTGCTGTGGAGACAACTGGAAATTAATTGAAAAGAGCACAGTGGTGACTGCCGTGCCTGCAGCTGAGGGGAGTGGACAGGGCTATTTAGGCAGAACTGAGGTGAAAATGTACTTCTGATGCCATCTCTGATGTCTGCAAAACTGCACTCAGCATATCCCAGCTCCTAGCTTCTTTCTTTCACCCCTGCTCCTACCATTACCCTGTATAACCCAGCATTTCCTTAACAGTTAAGGAAAAGCTACCTTTGACTTAGGAAGCTCTTCATACATCAGAACTGGTTGGCATTGCTCAATTTTTGTTGTTTCTACGATGTTCTAGAGACCAGAGGTCACTCCAGTGCAAGTCTGGTGTCTTGGACAGTTATTCAGGTGTCCTATAACAATACCCTCCACGTGATCCCTTGGCTTCTCCTACTTATGTCTGAGAAGTTTCTTTGATTATCCAAGGCACAAGTTCTTAGTGGATGGAAGCTTTTCAGCTCTTGCTGTCTGGGAGCTTTACAAGGTAAAACATCAATTTTCCCAAGGCAGAATAGAAAGCTTATTACACTTCCAGCATTTGACAGTGTATAATTCTCTTCTTAGGCATTCAACCTCTTTCTAAACTTGTGCTACCAAATCAGCAGTGTCAGTGAATGTAGTTTTTCCAAATTCAGCAGACATGTAGCACATGTTTAGGCAACCAGTGGCTCCTCAGGGTGGTCCCATTTCTGATTACCACCGTCTTTGCTGTCTCTCCTCTTGCCCACATGCCCATTCATACCACCTAGCATTCAGTTGTCATTTCTGATTGTGTACCTCCCTGGGGTTCTCTGACCCTTCTGTCAGGATCTTCATCCTCCATTTAAAACATGTTTTATTACTGGCACAAGAAGACTGAATAAATTTTAAGGATTACGTGATGTGCAGCCATGCTTCTGTGAAACTCCTGTGGTGATTGCTACTAATAACCAGTCATGTCCATTTGACAGTCACATCAGCTTCTGTGGAGCAATTTCAGTGGAAAGTTGGCACTGTACTGACTGGTGTGGGTGCCTCATCTGTTTAGGAAAATGAGCATTTTCTCTCCATGGGACCTTGTGAGACCAGCAGTCAAGTATGTGTAGGGCTTGGAATAAACAGTTTGTCTTTGGTTGACCTGCCATGCAGGGTCTTGTCAGAGAACAACTCAGCACAAATCAGGTCTTCTAGCATCAGAAAATGTTATGACCAACTGAAAGAAAGATGTTCATAAAAAATAACAGGATTATTCCTCGTAAAGAAACTTAGCCTACGTTTTTATGATTAGAAGTAGCTTCTTATTTCTGCAGTAGTTAAAACAAAATATTGCTTAAATTGATGGGTGTTTCTTCTCTGACATTCACCTTGTCGATTAATGGCTATTCTTCCCCATATTAGATATGTTCTTAATTACAGGAATAAGCAGTAACAAATGTCAAAGAGAAAGTAAAAGCTAACCAACTAACAAAGGCCCTTGTCTTTTTTTGCATACAGGCTTCTCTGTTTCACGGAAGTGTGGCCTTGTTGGCATCATATCTGCAAAACCAAATTTCCAAAAGAAAATCACTGTATTTACAAATAAATTATGCTACCCATACACCCTAAATTGCAGACTAAACACCCCCCAAATAAACATGCTGGTTGCATATGTGTGTCAGATTTTGGTCAATACTGAACTCTGCAGTGATGCATCATCCATCTTTATCTCAAACTTTTCCACACTGGTGCCATTTTCTGATAGGAATTTCCCTTACATCTTGGCCAGCTGAAGATGGTTAGTAACATCTGTGCTATTACAAGGCAAAGGCTTTTTTAATCAACTTAAAGAAATACTATAGAACCTAGATAATTTAATGCTTTAATTTGATAAAATACAGTAACTTACCTTCTCTTTGTTTACATCTTTTAATAACAGCATCCTTTAACTGTTGTAATTATTGTGTGAGAAAATCTTCATGTATGAGAAACTGTGGGTTTTTGTTGTACCTATTCTCGCCAGGCACAAATGGGTATATTTTAATAGGAAATCTCAAGACAATTTTTCTAGTGTATGTTTTTCTGCACTTGAGGCATTTCACCTGTGCTGCACGCACTGCTGACTCACTTGAAGGTAGAACAAACAAGATTACATATTTTTAAGTTGGCAAAAACATTTAATCTTCTTCAGCAATCTCTGAATTTCAGAGATTGTGCTGCTTTGAGATAATGCATGCAAAGAATGCAGGGCAATTTCTAAAATTTAGAAATTATGTCCTAGTTCAGGGTGCTGAATGAGCAGCAGAGGTGAAAAACAACTAGAAAAGGGAGCTCTGTTGGTGTGTAGCCATTAAGTGGGTGCAGGTGTATGTGTGTTCAGATCTATATCATTATGTGGGCTGTCCTGGGGCGTTGTTACCCATGAGCAGTGCCACTCAGCTGAGCAGTGCTGTGCTGTGTTCTGGTCAGGGCTGCCCCAGCTCCTGTTCTGCTTTCCTTTCCTGTCTCCATTTAAACTGGGGCTGCATCTGTTCCAGAAGTGACTAGAATAGGTCAGCAACCTTTTCTTTTCAAAACTCTGTAGATCTGCATCAATTGTTGTGTAATTAAAGATTCAGCAAATGAGAGCTGCAGCCCAGGGATGGAAACGTGTACACTGCTAACTGCGGTGTATCTTCCCTGTACTGCTGTCATTGCTGTACAGAACAAATTGCAATAGAGGTAGGTTGAGTGTTGTGCTTGGTCATGGGAGCACAGGCTGGGAGCTGTGGACATGGGCAGTCGCAGACCCCCTTTCCCTGTCCTTGAGTACATTCTGTAGTTGCAGTGCTCCAACTTGGAGAAATTCCCACTTGACATGCATGGCTGATTCATGTGTGACTGAGATTTAAATCTGTTTCTCTCATTCTTTTTCACATGTTATAGATATTTAAGCTTGGGTGGAAGGCCTGCATCCTCACTGTTGAAATCATTTGATGAGACAGAACTGATGTCAGTGTCAGGAAGAGGCCCCTTTACATTTGCCAGAAGCTAAGGTAGGATGACGAGCATCCCCTTGCCATGAGGTTGCTGAGTGATGGCTAGAAGCATTTTGCTGCACCCACTGATAGTCAGGCCAACTCCGGTGGCTGAGAACACACTGAGCTTTTTCATCATTGTCTCAGTTGTGCCTGTCCCTCACATCTTCCACATCTCACCCGCTCATATCTCCTGCTCTGTCCTTCTACCTTTCCATTTATTTCCTCTCAGTTAGCCTTCCCTCTTCCAAACTGTATGTCCACATAAGGGAAGATAATTGTAAAGCTATTGTGAAATTTGAGGGCAGTTTAGTGCTTGATGTCACAGAAACTTTCTAAAGAGCTTCCTCCTGTCTCCTTTTTTTATCCATATGGTAAGTAGCTGGTGGAACATACTGCAAGGGTAGTAAGAAATATCTTCCATCAACCATTCTTCAAAGCAAATGATTAGACTTTTGGCCTGTGAATAACAAAGTTGCATCAATTATTTCGAGATATATTCTGAAAGTGAGTTTTAATGAATTAGCATGTTGCAATAGTTTTATTTGGAAAAATTACATGTATTTCAGAACAGTCACCTTTGTTTTCCTGATGCATTCTCTGGAAAACAATTTTTTAAGCACCAGGTTTAGCTATTCCGTATTATAACCTTATATGTAAGCTGAAATCAGACTGAAATTCAAATTTGAGACGTGCTTAATTGTTATCCAAAACTGCATGGTACTTTGTTACCTGGAGTCAGTTCTTCAAGAAATTCTTCATCTTCTGTAACTGGATTCCAGTTCCAGTCTTTCACTGAGAATGTGTATAAAAGCGTATGTTGGCCTGTTTGTAAATGGAGAGTCAAGATGCAGAACTGTAAACTGGAAGAATGCTACATATCTGTAAAGGTCTGCTTAATGTTTCATTATTTTTTCAGTTTTTGAAATCTTATGGTTCCATTCCAAAAAGCTTTTTTCTCTTCTACTCTGTGTGTATATGTAACACATAACATTGCAACCCCAAGTTTAGCCGCTTTGTTTCTTTTTACTTCATAACCTTTTATAAGGCTTTGCAAATTAAATTCGGTAATTGAAACAGACAAGTTTCTTTAACACAAATTATAGCCTATCTTAGAATGCATGATCTGTTTCATAGCCATTACTGTGACTAAGTGGGTTGTGTGGCAGGAGACTCAAGACTCTAGCTTAATAAATCATTGCCCGCTTGGTCAGTTTTCAGCATGAAAGAACAAAAGCATAATATAATTTCTGGTTCAAGTAGGGGATTATCAAGAAAGATTTGTGAGTTGTGTGCAACCCCCTAACCTTCTGGGAAAGAAGGCATTCTAAGACTCACTTATCTTTCCATGAATAAATAATACAGTCTTGCCAATTAAAAAAAATCCTTTATTGATGACATGCAGATTTATTTTGTGCCATACCTAGAATGCGGGTATCACAAGACAAAGTTTAATTCAATTGTGTAGATATCCCTGTGGGAAGGAAAAACCATGTAAAAGAGCCCCTGCTTGCCTTGAGAATGTGGGACAGAAGGAGCTGCACACAATTTCAGGCTAACTATGCTACAGACTACAAAACCATCTCATGGAGAAAACAAATGCCCAACTTACACAAATTACAATAGAAGTCCAGCTTAGTGATTTAGAGTTTCAGAAATACAAAAGGTATGGTAATATCAAATTGGAAGCTCTTCAGAGCTTAGTGTCTTGAATGCATGCAGATGAATGAGGATGTTTTAATTGTAGATCGAATGAAGTTTAACTTATTCAAATGGTCCTCTATGTCTTCACTTCTAATTGTACCATATGGCATTACCTAATAAGAGCCAAGTGCAGATGCCAACTATATCACAGTATGATATATTATAAAGCAATCAAATTTGAAGTGAAGATTTATGATGGAACTCTTCTTTGTTAAAATCAAGCAAACAAAAAAGCCATCTAATCTATTACAGGCACTGAACAGAGCACTATTTAAAGCTCCTGTTCCAAGAACTTGTCCTTCAGCAAATGTCCTGCATCCCTAGAAGTCTCAAAGGGGGTTAGGAGCTGAGAGAAGGATGCTAGAGGTGAGACTTACCTTTATATTGTTGCCAGCACACTTGGCTCAGTAAGGGTGAAATGGCTGAGGGGCTACTCCCTGCTGGTGTGCAGCTGATGGAGCTGGAGTGCCTGTTTCCTCTTGTACACCTTAAGTGCATTTGCAAATCCCATTTTGGGTGGGTCTCCAATTCTTTCTCTTCTCCCCTGACAGCTGTAGCTACACATTAAAGAGGTGGAAGAGAACATTAGTTTTTATCCCTGAATAACCCATGCTACATCATTCTGTTGGTGTTGCTGGCACTAGGCTTGATCACATGTGACTGGGAATAGCTTTAAGGAGACAATCCCAAAGACTCGAAGTGCTGGAGGATCCTCTGCATTCTTTCATTTTCCTATGGGTAGAAGCATATGGTTCTGGGAAACTAGAATAGCTTGAACATTAAATTGGGTGCCAGTAAGATTCTGTATGTTTATATCATCATTAAAAATGAATAAATCAATCAATACGGCAGTATATTTTCTACATTGCCTTCTCATTATTTGCATCCAGAATTCACAGCAACTTCTCAGGAGCTGCAAAACTGTCATTCATTTCCATGCTTTGTTACAGGGTGGTGAAATTCAGGTTGTTTATTTTTTGCTTTTTATGGAGCAAAAAAATCAGCATATCTGTCTGTTTACTTCTTTTTTTTACGGCTCTCCAAATGATTTCTGAAACCTTTAGAAATACCACAAATAACAGTGAGGAGTTTGCTGTTGTTCCAGTGGTTAGAGAGGAAGGCACTGTAATTAATGCTTATTTAAGTTTGCCTAAAATTTAAAGTAGCTTGATAGCAGTTTTGAATTAAGGAAAACTACTTGGAAATATTTGATTTTTTTCCAGTGAGTAAGTTGGAGTTTGAGTAACCTATTCTGAATCTATAAGAATATCTCTTTAGAAAAGTTACTCTTATGCTATTAGAAACAAATTCTAACTTAATGTTGAAGCAAAAAGCAGAGGCTGAGCTATATCCCCCTGGGACGCCAGGAGGACATCAGCATCCATCTGCAAACAGAAGGATTCAAACAGTGATTTCTGCCATTGCCAGTTAAAGAAGTTTTAGAAAAACAGTCACCAGGAATAATCTGCAGGTGAAGAAATTGCAACACATGTGCATTCTGACTGTCATTTGACCTATGTACAAGCATGTAAATCTCCCATTATTCCCAAACTGAGTAATCCGTAGATAAAACCGAAGCCATCAAGCGGAAATAATAGTCAGAACTATGTAGCACTGACAGTACACAGAGCTCGCTGCTCTCTTCTGGCCTTTGTTGCACTGCTTGCTGAGCGAGGGCTGAAATAAAACAGTTGCGCGAGAGTGTGTGAATCTTCAAGTACAACAGAATGATCTGTCCAGACTAAAAATACAAGAAAAGATGAAACAGGAGGAAGATTAAGGTTGATGTACAGGGCCTGAGACAAAGCAGTGACAACACGGAGATCTCCTCCTGCTGAAGAGGAGGTATGGGTTTGATCAGATGGGTCAAGCTCTGAGCTGAAGGAATCCTAGTTCTTCCTTGCATCTGCGTTCTGAGACCAGCATATTCGCAGAGCTATTTTGTTACAAAAGTGAAGAAGTGCCCTGGCAAACTTATGCCATACGTGACAAGAAGCAGATCCTCCCAAGTGGAGCAGAGCATGCATTTTCCTTTCAGATTTACCCAAAAAGAATTTTCATTGTTCTTAATAATTTAATCCAGGTTTCTGCCTCTTTGTATACGTTATGTACCGAGAAGTTCAATGTATAAACTCATTTGTCTACTTTTCTTTGCTGTTAAAGAGTTTTAGGGAAATAGCTGAAGATGGTTAACCATAATTAATGCTTTTTGGTCTGCCTTCTGCAACTGACCTCTTGAGGCAAATTGTCATGATGATAACTCTGACACTTCAAAAGATTCCCTCTGGAGGAGAGTGTCTACTGTGGCGCTTCAGTTGCCTGATCTCTCCAGGCTTCTTACACAGTCAGTGAAGAGAAAGATGTTTTTCCTGAGAGTCTAAGCAATTCAGAGCATCTAAATGAGCCTCTCTTCTCAATCAACCTCTCAGGCAATTGGTCTCTTTCAATGACTATAGGCAGCATATTCAACTTGTAATGAGAATAAAAACAAAACAAAGCATAAACCCAGCGCTGCTTCCCCCATGAAATTTTTGCAGATTCAATGCAGCTTTTAGATTTGTTCCTATGTAAGTTGATTTAGCTGCATCTTTCTAGATCTAGATAGGGAATATCTCTGGAAAGAAGAGTAAGTAGTCCCAAAAACACTCCAGGAAGTTCTGGTTGAAGGACAGTTGCATCAGACCTGAGCTGTACCTTAAAGTCCTGTTGAAGGCGCTAGTTCACCAAGAGTAAAAGCTTCAAGATGTGTCCTTAAGTAAGTGGAGAGCACTATTAGTTTTGTTATTTTTAACAGGAAGGGAGCTGCCAGATTCATGTTAGCAGATTCTGGTTAAATATCTCAGAGCTGATTTTCGAGGCAACTGGAGCAGACGTCCAAGTGTCACTGCAATCATGCAGCCTCCCAGACTATAAGCAGTGCACAGTAGGCTGAGCTGTGGTTTGTGGTTCTTTCACCAGACTCCTGGATGTGCAGCTGGAGGGGGTTCAGGCAACTTGTGGCTATTGTGGGACTCTGGCTCCCCATGCAGCCTCCTATACTGCACATGTTTCAGCTGTCTGAATGTTGAATCCAGCCAGGAAAACAGTCCCCATGTCTGCAAAACCTGTCTAACGAGCATTGTTCTGACAGACTTTCTTCTCCTTTCCAGTTGATTTCCAACATCTCTGGTAAAGTCATTTTCTTCTCATCACCCTCATGCTGTCACTTACACCCACAACCTAATTGGAGCAGCTTCCTATCATCCACCACATCATCCTTAGCACCGGAGTGATCTTCCATCTCTGCTCTCAGCCCTTTCCAGCCAGACTTTTCCCCATGCTTTGCTCTGTCCTCTCGCGCTAAATCTCCTTGTCTGCATTCTTAGCTTAAAAATTTCTGCTCTTCTGCCACGGAACTTGAAACAGCCTCATGCAACTCTTTAAGATCCACTCAATAAATTCTGAAAGAGGAGAGACTATTCAGACTTTGTAGCGAAGAAAATGCAAGATATGATCTCTCTGTTTTGGGTTAGTTTGGGAAGTTTTTACTGACAATGCTTAATGTTTCAGCTGACACTCATTCATGAACATCTCATTGTACTCAAAACTCAAGTTTTTGCCTATGCCTCCTATTTTGCTGCCATTTACAACCAGCAGGCAAGCACTGAAATCAACAGTGCTTGATTTTGTGGAGGAAAGTTTGTATCCAAATTTAAAGTGGCATTTTATACAAATTTTGTTCTCACACTAAGAGAACAGGGCAATGGCATTTAAAAAGTACCTTTCCTCCTAATAGATCTGCAGTCGGATTTTTGCTTGAATACTTCCCATTTCTCTTCAAATGCCTTTTCTTTCACACTTGCTCACCAATCCTCTCTCTACATACCACAGAACTAGAATGTGTAAATTAACTGTGGCATTCTCACTGGTGAAACAGAAAAGGTGGTGAGATCTGTGCCTTTGAATTAATGGGAACTCTTCATGAGTTTTTGTTTGTTTGTTTGTTTGTTTGTTTGTTTTAAGGAAAATTTCCCACTCTCTGGTCAGTATTTTAGTCATGGGTAAGTTTGTTTTATTTTCTTTAAACAGATGTTTTATCTGTCACATGTAATGCCAATCAGATTAGGTAATTCCAAGTGATCTTGTCAGTTTGTTCTGTGTAAGTCTTTACAGGACAGGCAACCCTTACTGAAACGGTTCAGGAAATTCATTGTCTTCTGTTCGTTGTCATACTTTGCTGCCACAGAAAATCATTTCTCACAATACCATATGTGCTAGAAACTTTATTCTGCTCTATACTATATTGCATTTATTTTATGGTGACTGATGCTTGGTTTTCGTGTTTTAGATCAAGAGGAGCACTTCTGTAATGGGTTCTGACAATGTTTATCAAATCCACAGCTCTTGCCTTGCTACATCCCACAGAAATGAAGGTAAATGCTGTCGGTGTGTAGGCTGAGGCCAGGCATTACTGTTTCATACAGGTCTTGCAACAGTAGTTTGTTCATTTTTAGGAAAAAAAAAGAATGTCTGTAAAGCATGAAAGAAGTTGATCATCTGTATCTATTACGCAGGATAAGTTAAATTCTTTGAAATGTCTGTTAAGAGAGATATCGCTTGCAGTTCTCATTGACTTGAATTGCACATAGATGTCTAAGGACAGGACTTGACACACTTCCTATAGAAATGACAGGAAGATTCTTAGTATTACCTTTCATAGTGCATCAAATGCAAGTTTTTAAGTCCTAGAAAGTGGCATTCAGCCAGTGCAGTCTCTTACACAGGCTTTAATCTGATGGGGTGACTTCTATGTGAACAGTGCTTACTGATTACATGATTCAGTGTTAAAAGCTGCAGAACCAGAGCCTGAGGAGAGAAATGTTTTCAGCTGATACTTCAAATAGCATAGTGGTCTTTATATCTTGTGTCAGTTCATCACTGAGGCATTTCATCACCTTCAAATCAAACTTTTAAGAAAACCTTGATTCCTGAGAACTGCTCAGGGCACAGGTGGACATGGATAATAGCTGAGGTCACTATTTCAATTTTGCTATTGTAGCAATAATTAAAAATAGTTACTATGGAAAAAAAAAGTCTTAGTTTTAGAGTAGTTTTTATTCTTGATTTTTAATGCTTGCACTGGATGAGCTCTGTGCATTTGAGAGGAGCTTGTTTTGCTTTGGTGTGGTCCTGTGGCAGCACCTGAGCAGGACAGCAGGGTCAGCACCATTGTGCCTCCTGCTACATCTGCTTTCCACAAGCTTTTGTGTCCTTTCATCCCATTCTGTCCTTCGGGTCCCTTTGCACCCTCATCTGCCAGGTGCCACAGGAACAGCTGATTTATAAACGCCCTGCAGGAATGAACTCCTGCAGAGCAGCAGTCAGGCAGATGGGTTTTGATGATTTTGCAGCCCCTGTACAAGGCAGCAGCCTGCCATTCCTCCTCATCGCTTCTCAGGCTGTCACTTCCTGTGGCGTCTGCCCCTACATGGCTCAAAGAGAAATTCATGTGAAGTGACCTGCAGATATGTGCTAGAGCAAGCTAAGTGTGCTAAGCACTCTGGTGACTTAAGAAATCCTTTGAAATGTAGTGTACTGGAAGTTGGGTGAATATACAATGGCTTACAGATTTATGTCTGTGTGTGTGTACCTGCGTGCCCACACTTCTCTGGTTGTTCTGCTCTTCCACAGCCATAAGCAGTTGTCTCTTGTCAAAGAACTGCCTTGTGAGCTTGGCCGGGCCCTGGCTTGATGGTGCGGCTGTTCTCCTGTCTTCATGTCTTATAGTAAGGGCTGTGATCAGGCAATGCTCTGAGCATTTCTCAGAGAAGGAACAAAGAGAAAGGGATCAAGTTCTATGGCAAAACCTATTGAGGCCCTGGTGTTTTAACAGAACTGTTTCTGGGTTGGTTTTTGTTTTGTTTTGTTTTACTGGCTCAATGTCCTGTCAGCATGTAAGCTTGCGGAGGTAATCTGGGTATTCTTGAGTGGCTCAGGAAGCCATATTTCTTGCTCTTTTCCCCAGACATGACCCATTTCTGTCTAGGATGATCATTCAATTCTGCATCTGAGCATAGGCTTTTGGCTGAGGTATATGTCAAACAGAACTGACTCCTTAAAGCCAAAAATAAATCCAAGAATTTATACATATGCAAGGAGCCTTTCTGCCTGGTCTGCTCAGCCCTAGCAATTTGATTACCTTTTCAAGCCTCTCTTTGCAAGAAGAAAGATTGTTTTTTCTTTTCCACTCCTCCTTCAAAAGTAATATTCTTTATAGCATGAAAAGCTGTCATGTATAACGAAGGGCCTGTGTACATGCCATCAATACTGGGTGGACTTCTGCCAGGGAGAAGATGATGTTAAGACCTGTTGCAGACGGAGGACCTGAACTTTTTTTTTTTCTTTTAAGAGGAAGGATTCAAACAATTTACATTTAAAGATCTGATCTTACCATCCATATTGGCGAACAGAAATTTTATTCCTCAGCATGGGAGCACAAGTATCATGTTAGCAAACTGACCACATCTCTAGTAAAATAGCAAGTGGTACAGATTACAGGAGATCTTGTGACTGGGTATTGCTTGGCAACGATACATGTTTAGGTCACAGACTTGGTAACATAACTCATGCTAGGTCACAGACTAGGTGACATGATTCCTGCTGGGATGAATAGGTAACATCTGACTGGGTAACAAACAGTGTTCAAAACAACTCTTTCACTGCTCTCTGGCAACACCTGTTGTAAAGAGAGGAACACAGAAAATTAAAACAATATTAAGGGTGAGAAATCTAACTTTTTGGAATTTGGTGAATGGTAAATATTGTTCTACTAAAACTTCTCCAGATGGAATTTCTGCTCTTGTTTATTTGGCTAAAAATACTTGCCTCATTTTCTTCACATCCTAAAAATATATATATGTCTCAGTAAAGAGTTAGCATTGTGTCGAAACATTGACTTTTTCCTAATTTTTTTTTGTTTGTGATTTAATGTTGCATTTTGCGTTGCAATATATAAATGTGGATGTTTTGATGTTATAGAAAGAAAGTTAGATTTTTGTGTGGTGGCCTTACTGCTGCTAGCACTTTGAGTTCCTTTTCAGGTTAATAGGCCAGGCCTGCTCATGTTGCCCTTATATCACAATATCATACCTTTGCAACAGAAAGACATGCTTGTGGCCGATGTTTTCATACAGTGCTTTTTTTTTCCCTTTGGTCTGAAAATTGTTTTTCAGAATGTGCCAGTTTTCCAACTTCAAATAAGCATGTATTACATTACTTTATTATGCAGAAATCCTATGGAAGTTAACAAAGAACGTGCTGAGTGCATCTTTGGACACTAATATAAGGATCTAATCACATGCCAAGAAAGGCAAGTTGTGCAAGTCTGCAGTGAGTTCTGGATGAGAACGCGGTCAAAGTGCTGTTTGAGTCTGCTTCTGACATAGGGCAGATGTGTATGTGTTTGTTCTTAAGAAAATAAGCAAGTAATGCAAAATATGCTTGACCCCTGCACTGATTTGGGTTTGCTCTTTTAAAGAAAGAACTCTTGAGGTAGCTCTTGCCAGAGAAGTAACGATATGTTTTTTAAACAAAATTGCGCATTTTCTTTCCAGATGAAGTGTGAGGTTACGAGGTTCATCATCTCTTTTAATATTCATAATGTAAATGTATAGGACATGTGACAGGCATCTTTGGTATCTTCTGCTTTGGAGGGTTTTGCAGGACTGAGGTAATTCTGTGGGATGTTTGGGATTTTCTCATACAGTGGTTTCACTTATAACTTAGGAATAGGCCCGAAATGTCTGTTATAACAGAAAAGAAAATTGTGCGTTGTGGAACAGCTGAGCTTAGCTGGAGACTGAATACTCTTCCTCTTCCCTTTCTTTGCTGGGCAGCTGCTGAAGAATGCTTTTGGTTGACTGAAATGTTATTAAGAAGTTCTCAACTGGTCACAGGGCATAGCTCTCACTTACCTATGAAATTGCAGCCATGATTTTGAAATGGCAAACTGTCCTTTTCTTTGCTTCACACAGGTCAAAAACAACCACTGGGAGGTTTCAGGCTTTGTAAATCAGAAGATGGAAATGGCAAACCCAATAATAACATCTATTGTGTGTGGTATGTAAAATCACAAAAGTCGCAATTCATACATGAAATTTGTAATTTTATTTGTAACTTCAAACTGCAGTAGCTAAATTTGTCTTTTCAGTTTGTATAGTGCATGCAGTACTAACTGTTCTAGCTGCTCGCATTTGTGTATATGTGAGTGAGCACTGTGGAAAATAAAAGATCTGTGGCCTGTTTGCTGTGTCCCTTAGCTGTGTCTGTTGGCAATGGCCAAACTCCAGCGTGTCTCAACTCAGATAAATATGTTGATGGCATTACTAAGTCTAATTAACATGGCTGATCTCTGACAAAACAAGCTTAAAATATCTTGCTTATGAGAAGACATTGTGTGTGTGAGGGAGAGAGAAACACATCCAAAGTTTGGATTATGTCCAACAATGGGAAGAGCAATACCTTGCTCTTTGTCCATCGTTTCAGGATATTAATGTCTTCCCAAGTGGTACAGTCTCAATCATCCTGTGACACCACTGGGGAAATAAAGAGAGAATGAAGGTCATTTATTCTGTGTCCTGTACGAAATACACAGTAAAGCTAGAATTAAAACCTTCCCCTTGCTGAGTCCTGCTCCTTTGTCCTGATCAAAAGCTTGCTCTATCTCTCCACAGGTGTCCAATGCATGTTTCAGCCAACCTCCTTTTTGTGTGACAGCCTTTGTTTCTGATCTAAATTTAACTCTATTTCACATGTATCTTGGCTTTTCTTGCTGTTGTTATCATAAACTACAAATCCCCAAGACTGATTCACCCAGTGGTAAAAACTGTTACTATTACAGCTTGGGAACATGATTCTGTTTCAGAAACTCTGACTTGGTTTGTTTTACTTCTGGAGAGCCTTAAACATTTTCCTCTGCGATAAATCCCAGCAGCTCTTGACCTGAATGGTTTTGTGTATCTGGATGAGTAACTACTACTAAACTGGCTTGCTGCCTAGAAGTTATGGATTTTGGGTCATTTTAAATGTTATATGCAGATGGATCTCAAGATTTTGTCTCATTAGCATGAAAATATACATATGTACATAATGAACATATAATGTGTATATATATTTATACCTATGAATATATCTGTATATATATATATTCATTTCAGGGGCAAGAAAGTAGATTATTTAGGGACAAGAGCAGAAACCCACACCCAACAGTCTAGATGGGGTTTGATGCTGGCCTAGATGCAAACTGAACAAGCAGACAATAGAACTTGTTTTCTGCTAGCCAGCAAGAGAGACTTGGCATCCTCCAAAGTGTTTGTGCCTGCA